TATATATATATATATATATATATATATATATAATGTATATATATATTATATATATAAAGTTCAACAAACTTCAGGGACAATATTGAAAGTGTTAGGTAATGAAGAAGTCTATTTCCAATTTCACCTCATTTTCTTTTTTTGTCATTTACCTGTCTGGTTTTTCTTAATGTCTACTTTGTAGCTCTAGGTTTAATGTAACAACTCTCCAACTTATTTATTCATAATAAAAATCTTAAATCCAGAAAAGTACTGATATGAGAAATTTGTCGCCTAAACTTCATAAAGCCCAGCAGAAGTTAAAAACTACACATAGGTTGAGCAGAAAGTAAATATTACAGGGCTTGCTTTTTCTTTTCCAGCAGAATGTTAACCAGGGCTTCATGACCACATATCCTCTAACCTTCCAATGTCCTGCATATTCATCTGGGTCACACTCCAGACTGACTGATTTCTGAGCTTGAACTTATATGTACCCCTGTCCCAGCTGTTACCATCACAATTAACTTTGGCTCTCTACTCCCTGAATTTATCTGTCACTGTGCTTATCTGTCCTGCTTCGGCTCATCTTTGCTATTCTATTATGACCACTGGATTCACACTCAGACTGTATTTGTTCATTTTACATTTGACTTGTCTTAATATTGGCCCCTGCTTCCACGCATGCCTCTGAAGTGGGATGTCCTTCTGTACGCTTTGAATATATGTTGCTTTTATTGGTTGATTAATAAAGCTGTTTTGGCCAATGGTCAGGCAGAATAGAGCCGGACAGGAAATCCAAACAGAGATACATAGAGAAAGAAGGTAGAGTCTGAGAGATGCCATGTAGCCACTGAAGGGGTAAGATGTCAGGACATTGCTGGTGGTGATACACAGAGTAGTAAAAATGGGTTAATTTAATTGAGAGAGCTAGTCAGTAATATGCCTGGGCCATTGGTCAAGCAATTGTAATTAATATTAAGCCTTAGGGTGGTTATTTGGGAACTGGTAGGTGGGATGAGAAACCTTCATTTACATGCCTCTACTAATACAGGTAGACTCATGGCTTTTTTCCATTACTATCACCCACTGTGATATACTCTGAATCCATTACTTGGGGCACAAATCCAATAATTTTCCTATGATTATTAATATATTTTATCATTTCTTTGTATTTCTTACCAGGCCATATTGATCCAGAGTGAGAGAAGGAGTTGTTTATGGCTACCCATTAGAAATAGTAAATTCTTTACAATTTAGAACCTAAGGTCTGGTTCATGTTTTATCAAATATGACCTAGCATTGCTAGTATTCATTAACCACACACTTATGTTTAGCCAAACTCAGAGATCAAAATATAAAAACACCATATAGCCCTTGTTAGCAAAGCAATAAATATGTACAAAGTGATTTACTGAATTAGTTTCTTAGACAATGTCTAAGAAAGCAGATTTCTCAAAAGTTCAGCTTATTTTATGGCAAGATATACTAGCCTAAATGTAATTTGTAATTTTCCTGGATCATTTGGACTTAAGGTACAACCCCAGCAATAGCGGAGAGTGACCAGACCAAGAGCAATTTTCTTTTGCAAAGCTTCCAAGAAAGCTAATAACATTCAAATTCTAGCTTTTTAAAACACCTATAAGTGTTAGAATACAAAAATGTTCCCTTTAGTTATTTCTGTACTTCATTTTTTAAATTTTTTGACGCAGCAGGTGGGGGGAGTCTTATTCTGTAGACCAGTCTTGTTTGGATATCACTATGTTATCTCAAGCTAGCCCTGAACCCCTAACAATATCCCTGACACCACCTTCTGACCTAAATTGAAGAGTTAATAGGACACAAATCCCTATGATAGTATTTATTTACCTTTAGTGTTTCATTGAATTCTGGATTGGTACCTGTCCTGATTTTGGTCTTGCGCTTATTGCTTCGGGACTTGTCTGGAAGAAGGTATGACTTGACATAACTGTAAATAACAAAGGATAAAAATCATTATTTGCAAACAGATACTTTGCTAGAAATATTCCAGGACTTCAGTGAGTAAAGGGAATGGGTAAGTAGATAAAAGAGATGGGAACAAAGAGACTTCAGTCTTTGTAATATGCTGTCATAAATATAATTCTGGGCTTTCTATAAGAAAGAATCAGTGCTGTGTATTGGTAGAGAACAGGCTATGGTGCCAGAAAAGTTGTTTGGGACCACCCATGTATCATTGCTTTTGATAGTCTTGGGTTTTTAACTTTTCTGCATCTGTTTCTTCAAGTATAGAAAGTGGTATAGCAAAAAAACCTAACTCATGAAAGGTACATGAGAAGCTGCGGTATTATACTACTTCTTGAATGGAATCTGCTAACATCAATGATCTCATAAACTTTCTAAGATATATGTTTCTCCATGACTAGTCTTATCTTCTGATGTCAGGACATAGGACAAACTGGAATGAATGGATAAAGAAAAGTGTGAAAAGGAAGAAATAGAAAATGATAGCCTGGCAGAAGTTCAACCCAATGCCTTGGCTTGTGCTAGCTAACTGTTTTAGAAACTTCTTGGGACAGGGACATCAGAGAAGACAGAGGCATGCACAAGATTGAAACATATTATACAGAGTTATAAAGCACATCTACTTGGGTTTTAGATGGCTCCTTTACATGCTGGCCAAAATAATTGTATTTGTTATTTAGCCATCTAAAATCTAGAGTATATGAAATGAGCAAAAATCACATCCATAGTTGAGAAGCTATTTATGATTGATAGCTGCTGGGAGTGAGAAAATGGCTTTCTTCAGTGGAGTGATATTGGGTGTAATCAAGTACACTCCAAGGCAAGCCTCATGCCCAGTAGTTGACCAATACAAATTGGACTCCAAGTTTTTGTTTTACTTTGTTTACATTGTGTGTGTGTGTGTGTGTGTGTGTGTGTGTGTGTGCGTGCATGCACATGTGCTTGCTTGCACTTTTGCTCTAAGAGAAAGAAAGAACATAAAGTTGGTAGGGGGAAATATGGGCAGGCTAGGAGGGGGAAGGACTATGATCACAATATATTGTATGAAAAAATATTTTAAATAATCAGCACAATAATCTTAGACATCATGGTGTCTGCCAACATGTCAACTTTCCTCCTCTGTGCTAGCTAAAAGTTAGCCCTGAATCATATAATAGCCTCCTTCAAATCAGGTAACCAATGATACAATATTTATACTCATACTCCAGAGAATATTTTGAAGTGCAGTATAGGAAGTCACAAGTAGCTTTCTTTCTTTTTCTTTTTTTTTTTTCAATACAGGGTTTCTAGGCTCAGAAAGACAAATACAATATGTACTCACTCATAAGTGGATATTAGACATAAAGAAAAGGACAACAAGCCTACAGCTCATAACCCCAGAGAACCTAGGTAACAAAGAGGACCCCAAGAGAGACATACATAAATCTGCCTAAGAAAGGGAAAAAAGACAAGCTCTCCTGAGTAAATTAGGAGTGTGGTGGGCAGGGGAATGGTGGAAGGGAAAAGGGGAGGAGGGAAGGGGACAAGGGAAAAGTGTATAGCTCAGTAAAAAAAAAAATGTCAAAATAAGACGTTTCTTTGTGTAATGTCCTGGAACTCTCTTTGTACACCAGGCTATCCCCAAACTCACAGAGATCCACCTATTTCTGTCTCCTGAGTGCATGAGCTGTGACTAAAGGTGTGCCACCATGCCTGGTCTCATAAGTAGCTTTTTAAATTTTTATTTTGTTTTGTTTTGTTTTTCCAAGACAGGGTTTTACTGCCCTGGCTGTCCTCTGTAGACAGGCTGGCCTCGAACTCACAGAGATCTGCCTGCAGAGTATCTGCCTCCCGAGTGCTGGGATTAAAGGTGTATGCTACCACCTCCTGACTCTGAGAGGGTTTTAATGGAAGGAAATGCTTAACCTCTTCTGAAGAGGAAATGTGCATGACACAGAAAAAAATGAAAACAGAGAAGGCAGGGTGGAGACAGCTGTGGAGCATCCTATGTACTTACGCATCTGTCCTCTGTTTCTTTTCATCTCCTATGGCCAGGTTTCTGCAATTCTTGACAAAAATGTAGAGGCCACCAGTTTTGTAGCAGTAGCTAATGTGGAGAAGAATTTCACCCGTGACCTTCACGTTGCCATAGTCTCCTGTTTCACTGTAAGCACTCATCATGCTGTTAAGGCTGGTCTGCAATAAACAAGATGAAAGAAGTCACCTAGTGCTATTACAAGGCCCTTTTACAAAATCCACACCCTTCAGTCAATTCCAATTGGCATTCTATGTAACTGGCAGGGGAGTCAAGGGTGAAGGAAGGAAGGAAATCACTATTTGCTTGTTTTGCTGATGGTGCATAAAATTCTAACCTGAGAAGAACACCCCACTAAGCTCCCTTAGTAAGGAAGGCAGGAAGCTTGCTGAGAGAGGAAGGAAGCATCTCTTTTGGGCTAGCTGAAATCCTTTATTCGTGCCTTCTAATGAATATAGAGTCAGTTAGAGATTTCTAATACAACCTTGATTCTCTATCCCTGTCACTGCCTTTTCATGATAGACTCAAATGCAATCTATTTAAATATGTAGAATGTAATGATCAGGAGAAAGAAAAGCTCACTCCATAGTATGAGTTAACAAAAATCTTAAAGTGTCTTTCTTTACACTCACACAGTGGATGCCATCAGTCCTTGGGGAACCGTAACTGCAGCATGAAGAAAGGTATGGCAGGACATCCTATACTCACAAGGGATGCCACTTCCCCAGCTTAGCAGTGCTCTGACTATATAGGTAGTCCAAGACCCATGGCTTTGAAATTCCATGGAGTAGTAAATGACCGAAATACAGCACCAAAAAATTAAGTGCCTCAATTAATCAAAAACATAAAAATTCTATAAAGACGAATAAAAATTTTGTCAAAATATTCATAACACAAGATACATATTTTAAACCAATGTAGCACTATTATTTAGTGTTAGAAACAAAGACTCTGTATCTTAGTAACATAGACACAAAAGGCCAGTGACTTTCATGATACAGTAGTTTCATAACCTCACATTGACTACTGAGAAGCAAAGACATAGCAGTACAGAGAGTGTAGAATTGTCATTCATATAGATAGATACAGACCCAAAAAGTATGTATGGAGCATTTATCTGTCGTGTATACCATGTGGATACATGAATGTATCTATGTATCCATATTTCTATCTATTTATTTTACTACATGCCTGTCTACCTGCCCATGGCTGGATTTTATTGTTATTGTTTTCAAACAGGATGTATTTCTTCAAGAAACAGGATGTATCTGACTTAGCTAATAATCTCTTTTAAACTGAAGTCAAAGGCAAGAATGAACCAAGAATTCTAAAACTGCATATAAGCTATTTCTTAGAGAGCCAATAAATAACAGAATTTGTCTTTGCTATTCTTAAAATAATGCAACAGAACTTTAAAATGTTAACTATATAATAAGTCTACTGGGGATCATTTTAGAATAAAAATTAAGTCTGGATAGATTCTGAAATTTTAGGTTTTCTACAGACAACTAGGTCTTAAGGACCCAAATAATGTGTGCTTGTACCCATGGTACCACTGTAAACTCATGGGAATACCAAAAAAAGATTTGAAAGGGAAACACAGCTCCAGCAGCATCCATCAGACAGCATACAGAGCTGGCAAAGCACTAACTATCTTGAGTATCTTTAATTGAGTATCTTTATTAATATCATACTTTATTTCTCCAATGAAATACTATTTGTGATATGATTAGCTTTTGACAATTTTCTCACTCTAAAAAAATTCTCATTAAATTCTATATAGGATGCAGACAGGATGGTACATGTCCATCATCTCAGAACTCAGGAGATGAAGGCAGAAGCCTGTTGAGTTTCTCAAACAAGATTAACTTTTCTCAAGCCCCCAAAAGCAGAAATATTAATGTGGAATGTCAGGTGAATGTCATGGTGATGTCTAATGAGATTCTAAGATGTGACAAACTATATAGTACTCAGCAAGTACACACATCTCTTAGTAAATAATAAAATAATTTAAGAACAGAATAAAAATTTACCTAAATCATTTTTCTTGAAATAGTTGCTAAGTTCAGAAGATGTGTTTATTAAGTTTTGTGAAACCAGTCCTTACTCTTCACCTGGGAGTTACATTGAAGAATTATTGAGATTCTTTGGGCTTTATAAATTGAGAAAGTTTGGGGTCCATGACTATACAATAGTGTTGAGCTTCATGAACTAACCTCAACCATATTACACATGAAGAAACTCTGGTTCAAAGATTTGTTAGTAATACCAAGTCATAGAGGAAAGTTCTGGGTTTCTAGTCAAAAGTCCTATGGACCACAACTCACTGCCTCTTTGTATAACTGACCTATACTTTTAACACTACCCTCTGTAACTATGTGGTCAGAGAGGGATGAGTGATCCCTATGAGTAGAAGAAAATTGAGACTTAGGAGGATTTAAAGTAATTATGACAATTTTGCTGCTAACAAAACCCTTTTCTTTATCAAGACATTGTTGTGACTTAAAATGGAGATGCTCATGTAATTAATAAATGATTTTGGACATGTCTTTTGACTGGTACTCAGATTCTAATACTTAATGAACTGGGATACTTGAGATGTGTCAGCTCATAAATACCTTCCAAAAGGAGTATCTGGCTGTGTACCAGTCAGAAAACAGGTGGTACTGCTCATCCAACCACATTTCCCAAACCATGGAACTTATGAAGTATGGTTGGGAAAGGGGAAACAGGGGTGAAGACTCACGGTGTCTGAATCAGCATCAGGCACATTTAGGTAGCTCCTCTTCCTATCAGATCCTGCTTGGAAGTTCTTTAATGATGCCATCCAATGACCAAAAGAAAAAGGGTATTAGAGTTCAGAAATCAGAGAAGCAAAGAAATGCACAGGTACACAGGGAGATTCAATGGCATGGTGGTTGCTATAGGCTTGCTCTCAAAGGGGATCTTCAACTACAGAAAAGCTCAGAATTTTCCCTCAACACAGTGAGAAGCTCTAGATATGTTTTTTTGTGTAGGAAACAAAGCAAAGTAGGGATGTTTTGTAGAAAAATAGCTGGTAAAAGTGTGGAGAGCAGTTGGGGAGTTGAGGGAATGATAATAGAGAAACTTATCGATGAGGAACTGTAATGACTTATAAACTTAAGATGAAGGGGGTCTTAATTAGAAAATGAAGAATTTCTTCGGGTATTTATGAAACAATAGTGTATGTTTACCGGAGTACCATATGACTCATGCTACCATCAATGGTCATATCATGGCAATTAGCCTTTCTATCTCCTTCACCATTTAATTCTTTGTGTTGGAAGTCTTCAAACTCCTCTTATCCAGTTCTTTACGCAATGGGAATAAACAGAGTTCAAGAGCTGGATGAGGATTGTGGCAGAAGAGGGAAGGATTCAGAAATCAAAATAGAGTGCAAGGTGATATATGGGCACAGGACAAGCTCGAACCTACAACAGCTTGGGGCATATGATCACTCCTCCTATGTCTTGGAAATGCACAGGGAATGAACAAGAAAAAGAAAGTTTCTGTGAGAAAACTTACCGTTGACAGGCCTGTTACCAGACTGTGGGGATTTGCAGAAAACCCAGATGACACTAAGTCATCATCACCATCTTCAGTCTCTTCTAAGGAGTTCTAGGAAAGGACAGAAAAGTCAATGGTTTGGTTCATTTCTATCCTAGGAGAATTTCTTTTACATGAAAAAAGATTTATTTCACAAACACTTGGAAAGTCAAAGAAAAACAGAAAAAGAAACTCTCTTTTAGATTTAGGTTTTTGCACTTCCAGTTCATCTCAATTACAAAATCAAAGGAGTAGAAAGGGACTGGGTCTCTTTCCTAGTAACACTTGCTTGGTGGAAAGCATATGAAACTTGGAATCCTACAGATCTGGGTTTAATTCTCACCTCCCTGGTCTCTAAGGCAAGACACTTTGGACAATACACTTGTTATTTTTAGTTAGAATTGCATCCCCACCACCACACACCTCTCTCTCTCTCTCTCTCTCTCTCTCTCTCTCTCTCTCTCTCTGTCTGTCTGTCTCTCTCTGTCTCTCCAGTCTCTCTCTACCCCCTCTCTGTTATGATTTCTTCCTTATCTGAATAAATTTTTAGCAGTGTATTTTTTACCATGAAAGTTCATGAATTATTTAAATTTGAAACTTATATTCTTTGTTTTTGATGCTTAATATAACTGCTATAAGATCAGTGACCTTGATTGGTATTTTAAAACAGAATTTAAAGACTTATTGAATATGCATTCATTATTTTCTGCTTCTTTGATCTTAGCTGTATTAGAATAACTTTACCAATTAAAATCTTCTGCAACATTTGTAAGATTTCTTTCTTTTCATAAGTGCATTTGACTCTAAACTGCTTCCAATGTAGCCTTTTGTTTGGTGTGTCTTGGAGGCCCTGTTTTTAAAAAGTTTTAGGTTTAAAATAGTTTCCTTTCAATACTTTGAAAATATTGCTGTTTCTATCTTGTACTCAGTATTACCATAGAAAACTGATACTAATTTGATTCTTCTTTATTTGTATAAAGTATGATTTTTTTCTATAACTGTAGTCAAATCATATTTTGCATCGTTTAGGATTTTCTCCATATAGGATCACATCTGAAAGTTAATGACACAGAACTGTTTTTTTCTCACTGAGAACCTTCCTTTACTTTCCCTCTTCCATTCATTTTTTCTCCCCTTTGTACCAGTAGCTCTAACTTCCTGTGTAATGTTGGATGAAGGAACTCTGCTTTGTTAACCAGACGTAAGAGACAGTATTTACTTATTTTTGCCATTGTCTATACATGCTCTTCATTAGCCTGAGGAAATTCTCCTTTCTAGTTTGTTGAGGTTTTATTATATAATATACATTGAGATTTTGTCAAATAATTCCTCCTTCTGCTGAGATGTTATGACTATTAATTTTTAGTACCACCTTTAGATAATTTTAAAAGCTTCATATTTTATTTTAATTTGTATGTGTATGTGCCCACAGAGGCCAGAAGAGGGTGTCAGATCTAGAATTATAAGTGCTTACAAACCGATATAGGTGCTAGGAACAAATGTGGGTCATCTCTAAAAGCAGCAAGTACTCTTAACCTTTAGGTTATCTCTCTAGCTCCAACATTCATTTATTTTTAAGTGGTTGTTCAACCTTGCTTCTGTGGAGTAAATCACACTTAGTTGTAGTATGTGATTTTTTTTTTTTAGGATGAGGCTGAGACTTTATTAAAGACATTCACACCTGTATTCATTAAGTGTACTGAGATGTTGTTTTCTGTTCTTGTGATGTCTATCTAGCTTTGTTAAGCGGTAAAGTAATGGATTACATATGATGAATGTGGCAGTACTTCCTCATCAACTATCTGAATGAATTTGTGAACTACATGATTTCTTCTTCAAATACTTAATGGACCAGGCCTGGTGGCCCACACCTTTAACTCCACTCCTTGGGAGGCTAAGGTCAGAGGACTACATGCAATTTAAGGCCAACCTGAGATACACCGTACAAGGCTAGTCTGGGTTATAGAGTAATATCTTGTCTACAACAGCAATAGGCTCAAATACTTGAAGGAATTCATTAGTAAAGCTATCCACACCTTAGATTTTTTTTCATGGAGAATTTTAAGTCTGACCAGAAGAGGCTTCCATACACAATTTAGGTTTGGTTTAAAGATTTTTCCATGCGTAATGTAAATAGCTATAATCTAGTATTATAACTGTAGTTGAGTCTCAGCAAATCATGAGCAGACAGTTGTAAAATCATTATCAAGACAGACAAAGTGCATGGGAAATAGGTTCCCAAAAGCCAGCTCAAGTCTTGATCCCATTGCTAGTAGCCCCACAAACAGACCAAGTTATACAATGGTCACACATATACAGAGGGCCAAGGTCGGTTCCATGCAAGCTCCCTAGCTGTTGGCCCAGAGTCAGTGAGCTCTCAGGAGCTCAGGTCAGCTGTCTCTGTGGGTTCCCTGTCATGACCTTGATCCCCCTTGCTTGTATGATCCCTCTTCACTCTCTTCAACAGGACTTCTGGAGTAAGGCCCATTGCTTGGCTGTGGATCTCTGAATCTGCTTCCATCAGTTACTGGATGAAGGCATTCTGCTGACAATTAGGGTAGTCAACATTCTGATTCCCTATGCTGGATTACCTCACCCAGCCTTGATGTTGGGGCAGGAGCTTAGTCCTACCTCAACTCGATGTGCCATGCTTTGTTAAATCCCATGGGAGACCTACCCTTTTGTGAACAGAGCGGGATCAGCAGTGGATGGGGGTGGTAGATGGGAGGTGGTGGAAGGGAACAGGAGAGCAGGGAGGGGAAACTGTGGTTGATATGTAAAATGAATGAAAATTTTAATAAAATAGTTTGGAAAACTAAAAAAAAAAAAGACAGACAAGTTACAATCACTTCCTCAATTCCATTTTCAGTATGTCATTTCTTTTTTCATGTCCATTGCTCTGGTTAGTTCTCTGTCAAGTTGACACATGCTAAGGCCATCTGGGAAAAGGGAACCTCAGTTGAAAAAATGGCCCTATCATATTGACCTGTAGGCAAGTCTTAGGGCATTTTCTTTTTGTGTTTTAAAATTTTTAAATTCATTTTACATACTAACCGCAGTTCCCCTCCCTGCCCTCTTCTCCCACTACATCCCTCTAACCAACCCTCTATTCACTCCTCAGAAAGGGTAAGGCCTCCCATGGGGACTCAACAAAACCTGGCACATCAAGTTGAGGCCGGACCAAGATCCTCCCCCCCACACACACACACTGCACGGAGACTGAGCAAGGCACCCCACCATGTGGAATGGGCTCCAAAAAGCCAGCTCATGCACCAGGGACAGATCCTGGTTCCACTGCCAGGGGTCCACAAACAGACCAAGATATACAACTGTCTCCCATATGCAGGGGACCTAGTTTGGTCACATGCAGGCTCCCCCGCTGTTAGTCTAGTGTTAATGAGCTCCCACAAGTTCAGTTCAGCTATCTGTGGATTTCTGCTCATATAATTCCTTCTCCCTGTCTACAATTGGACTCTGGTAAGCCTGTAGGGAATTTTCTTGATTGATATTAATGTGGAAGGAACCAGTTTACTGTGGGCCCTTATTAAAAAGGTTATAAAAACATTTCTATTTTATCTTATTATATTTTCCAAGCCTCCAGAACATTATTATTATTAACTAATAAAATGACTGTAAAAATCCATGTTGTCTGCTAAGTTGTAATGGAAGTGGATTAATAGTACCAACATTTAAAATGACATATACTGTAACTGTTTGATATGTAATATTTTAAAATCATATTTAAATGGCTTTCATCAGTTTTAAAGAAGAATTTTATAGGTATGATTAAATTTTATCACAAGATTTCGGGTTTTTAAAACACAGGTTTATATGTTCTTTAATATATTATTGGAATATACTGTTACTTCATTTCATATGCATATGAAATATTCCATTCCTACTTGGAACAAAATGTACTTTTTCTTACTAGAGCATTTTAATTCATTGCTAAGTTACTTTATACTGTTTCAATATGTATATATTCATAATGCAACTTTCCTTGCAGTACTGTTTGTATCTTTTCAATTGCAGTGTTTTAGTTGCTTTTATATTCAATTGTGAAAACTACCAAGAAGACATACTGCTTGTCTTCATTTTACTGTCAACTTATGACTTAAAAGTGCAAATGCTCGAAGCAAGAGCATGCCCTCCTCTCCATGTGTTATTAAACTTTCTCCTTCATCCAACTTACCAAGTCTTTGTCTAATGCCCCAGGGACAGATCTGCTTCTTATGCTTGAAGTGTCCTCTATGTCTTCTGGAAAAGACTCACTCAAATCTAACTCAGATCGACTCCGGTCTGGAGGGATAAATATGAAATGCAGATGTGAGTCAGCATATTTTGTCATGGTTGCAGATATTTCAATATCTCAGTTTATACATGCACACATGCACACACTTGTGCGCACACACACATACACACACACACACAGAAAGAGAGAGAGAGAGAGAGAGAGAGAGAGAGAGAGAGAGAGAATGCAATGGAAACAGCATCCAGGCTCACAAACTCCATGCTGCTTTACATTAACACACTTACATTTTTAATAGCGTTTTGGAAATTGCCTTGATATAAACATGAAGCCATCTGTGTTCATTTGTCCTTTGATTACAGGGGATTAAGTGCTCTGTTATAAAATCCAAGGGTAGCTTTAAGCTGTTTAAAGATCTGATTTACTTCTGCCTAAATATTAAAAATGCTCATAGATTGGGTCCTTAAGCTTCATGAGAAAAAGAACTTAACATTCTTGAAGATAATTGACTGTGTTTTCACATTTCACATAAAATGAAGCCAACTGATCATAATTTCCACTTTTGAATGATATGACTTCCTTTCATGCAAAGGGGAGTGACTGTAGAAAAACTGAGAGGGTTTGATTTCTTTAGTTACAAGAACATTCCTTCATAACAGAACATCTCGATTTCAGTTTTTAAAATATCAGTTAACAATTGATGTGCTTCTTGACAGTGCTGTAGACAGCTTACCAAGTCATGGCAGTTTACTTCCACAGAATAGTTCTGTTCTAAAGTCCTGCTGAGACAAATATAGTTGCTTATAGAGGAGAGAGACTAGAGAGAACAATCAAATACTTAAGTTTGAAATGGCAAATGCAGCGATGAGGAAGTGTTTAGCACCCTGCCTGTGAGTATGTACTGAATGATTAGGAGTTGTGGAAGACATGCAGTAGAAGTTGACTTTATGATGTTAGTTCTAGGATTTGTTAGGTTTTTATTTTCATTGAACAGGTGAACTACTTTACTATCTTTTTCTTTTAAAACTACATTTATTTATTTAGTGTATGTGCACATTCTGTGTGCCATGACACAAGAGTGGAAATCACAGGATAGCTTTGGGGAGTTGGTTCTCTCCTTTTATCATGTGGGACCCAGGGAACTATACAGAGGTTGTCAGGTTTGGCAGTAAGTGCCTTTACCCACTGAACCATTTTGTTGGCCCACTTTCCTATTTTTGAAAACATGCATTTTAGAGGACTCTGGTCCCTAGTGCCACACATGTACATGGGTACATCCACAAACACACAAAACATGCACACACGAACCCTTTAGGAGCCTGTTGCCTAGGAAAGATTTCCTTATAATTACAGTAACAAGTCAGAATCTAGCAGTAGACTGCATGCAACAGATAATGGTTTAATGTTGAGGACTTAATTATGAATTGAGTTCAATATATGGGACATGAACATTACAATAACAAGGTATTTCTATGAAGAATTTTCTTATGCATAGGTAAGTTCATTGTAATAAACTGCAATACAAATAATATCCATATAAATGAAAAGACTTCTTACTAATATCTAATGTGCTGGTTAGTTTTTTTCAAGTATCATGGAATTCTTTCTATTGAGATGATATTGTACTTACTTATTTTTTAATATATATATTTGAGACTATAGTATAATTATATTACTTCTCCCTTCCCTTAGTTCCCTCCAAAACATCCCATGTGCATGCCCCACCCAAACTCAGATTCATGGCCTCTTTTTTTAAAAAATTTTGGTTACTGGGAAGAGAAGCTCAATTGAGAAAATGCCTCCATGGGACTGGCCTGTAGGTAAGCCTGTGGAAGCATTTTCTTGACCGATATTAATATGGAAGGAACCATATCACTGTGGCCAGTACTACCCCTCAGCAAGTGGTCCTGGGGTGTACATGAAAGCAGATTGAGCAAGCCATGAGGAGCAAGTAAATGCTTCATTCTTCCATGGTCTATGTTTTAGTTCCTGTTTTCCCTTCATGATAGGCTATAAGCTATACCTTTCTTCTCCAAGTTGCTTTTGGTCATGGTGTTTATCACAGCAATAGAAAGCATACTAACAATCCTGAGTACGGACATACCTCATCCCTGTCTACACCCTGCCCTCTGTCCTGCAGCGGGTGCCCTAGCAGCGCTGCTCTACCTGCCCCCCCAACTTCCTCCATCATCGCCTGCTCACTTCTGCCTGACCCCACCTGGACAAGAGTGGACCTCCCCTATACCTGAAGGTCCACCTTGAATCCGGAAACACTCCACCCTTGTCCACCCACAACCCTCTGTGATCCCGCTGCCGCAAGAGGCAGACCCTCCGCCAGCCACCTGAGAGAGGGAGAGACCCCACCTGCACTCACTGGAAGAAGGGATGGGAAGAAGACAGAGTAAGAACACGCTCAACAACAGAAAGACCAATATGACACCACCAGAATCTAGGGACTCCACACCAGCAAGATCTGAAAAGCCCAACACAGAGCATGAAGAAGAGATGGACCTCAAAAATTATCTTAGGAAGATGATAGAGTCCTTTAAAGAGGAAATAAGAAAATCCCTTAAAGAAATAGAAGAAAAAACAAGCAAAACATTACATGAGATGGAGGAAAAGACAAACCAATGAATTCAAGAAGTAAACAAATTTCTTAAAGAATCCAAAGAAAGCCAAGAAAAAACAACCAAACAAGTAAAGGAAGCACTCGAAACAGTTCAAGGCATGAAAGCTGAAATAGAAACAATAAAGAAAACACAGAATGAGGTGATGCTGGAAATAGAAAGGCTGGACAACCGATCAGGAACTAAAGATGTGAGTATAACCAATGGAATACAAAAGATGGAAGAGAGAATCTCAGTTGTTGAAGACTTGCTTGAGGATATACAGTCATCAACCAAAGAAAACCTCAAGTCCAACAAATCCTTAACACAAAATATCCAGGAAATATGGGACACCGTGAAAA